AAAATCAGCATTAAAGGGAAAAAAAAAAAAAAAAAAGCTTGGAGTTTTAACGGTAAAATAATATATAGACAGTAAATAATCCAACAAACGTAAAAATTCAAAATACATGAAGAATACAATTCAACCATACGTATGAATTGTAAAATATCCTATTTCTCCTTTTTGTACTTATTTTGCTTTATTACTAAACAAAAATTTCCCTCACCTGCTCCATAGCGCCAGGATCTAGCTTTACGGCTCCTTAATGCTGTTAAAAGAAGGCCGAAGGACAGAACCAAAGCAAACATTCCATTTCCGAAGCGCCAGGAAGGCAGTAAAGCAGTCTGGCTAGAATTTCCTCTCCTAGGGATGCCAAACTCTTCCACAACGCCCTAGCAAAGAATTGAGCTAGTTTTATGATGTTTCTTAAGAAATTAGATGGCAGAAACTAGTAGATATGATCAAACAATATGTACTTATTCCTATGATTTGGAAGTTAATTCAATTATTATTTATTAGCTAAACATTTCGATAGTACAAAGTTTTAGAATAATGATCAGGGAAGTTGACTTTTCAGTAAGATTTTCAGAAAATCATGGCAAGCAAGATAATTGCCGAAACTGCACTAGTGCATGATAATGTAAATCTTTTGGGCTATCAAACATTCATAATGGTACTGTAAAGGAGAAAAAGAATGCTAAGATTTTCAGTTATACTCACTCGAATAGCCTCCTGCATAAAGAGCATTGCAATTAGAAGACCAAACAATTCACCAGCCAAGCGCGTAAAACGATTGATGAGAGAGCATGCACCCAAGATGGCCAGCAAGAAAAGCAAAAGGGCTGTCCATACGCAAACCCTAAGTACCACAGTGTTACCATCAATAGTTGACATCAGATCTCAAGAGCGTGTTTGGCTAAGGGTAGAAAAGGTAAATGTACTTTTGTAGAGAGTAAAGGCTCAGTTTTAAGGAAGTGAGTTTTCGAACTAAAAATCTCCAGGAAAAGAGTAAATTCTAAAAAAACTCAAACTTGTTTGGCCCAAAAAGTTAATTTTAAAGTAATCTTGGCCAGACATGTACTTGGTCAATGTTTCAAGAGAGCAGAGAGTTACCATCCTGTCCAAGCCAAGAATAGCTTATGTCCCAAATCTTTTCGATCTTTTGCAAAATTGAACATGAAAGTGTACATTATAACAGTTGGTTCAGCTACACCTAATATGAGGAGTGGTTGTCCGCCAACAATTGAGTGGATCACACCACAAAGTGCTGTTGATGCAAGGGTTTGCACTGCAGTTAAGGTTCCATCTGCAATAATGGATCATTAATTAGCATATCTAAGCAAAATATCACATTAAAACTTAAAAACGTGTTTGGTACGGACGATTGAGTAACTTTTCAATACATTCAATCAACTTTTATCAAATTTTGCTAAAATTTTTATGAAAAACTTTGACAAACAACCCCCTAAATAAAAAAGCTAAAATTTTGTTCATTACACCGTCATATCATGCTGCATACAAAACATAAACTAAAGAAGAGACAACAAAAAGGTAAAAATTCAAGAAATATAAGTCCTACCAGTATCTCTTTCAAGTTGCTCTCCGAAAGATATAACAGGAATTGCTGATGCGAAGAATATATATGTTGTCGGAGCCAGGATCCTTCAAAACAACATAATGATTTTAATTACACATTCAAGCTAGGATAAATAAGAGCTAATGAATTCTGCACTTAGATATTTATTTTGAGTACCAAGATAATTCACTAGAATGATGTTAAGAAGGAAGAGCATCAGGATCAAATAATTCTTAACATATAAGTTCTACAAGAACAAGATAAAATCATCTATATAAAATAAAACATCTATCTGAGTTTACATTTGAGGTAAGGTAAAAATCACAAACCTTATACCTGCACGCAGTCCACCGCTCCAGTCTTGTCTGTAGCATAGAAGCCTTCTTTTAAGATCATTCTTAATTCCACGGAAGGGGACAAATGTTTCTTCCATTATGACCCAAAATTACCCAAAACACGGGCTTTTTTAATTCTTTCTTTTCTTTTATTTGCACAAATGAGAAATTGGAATGACACTAAACTTGGAAACAAATTGGAAGGGACTGAGGCCAAACTCAATATTGCTAGATATGCATACGAAAGATGGATGTGTCGGCAGAAAGACAAACGCTACTTGATCGTAAATATTCAAAAAGTATCTATACTTTGAGACCATTTTATTAGGTCCATGAATAAATTTGTATATGTAGTTTAAGAACTTTACATTTTAATGAATCTAAAAAGAATAATTTTAGGGTCCGGAAAAAGAACAATAGAACACGTTAGCAATGAATTACAATCAGATTAAGGATAGAATTCTTGGTTCAACCCTCCAAAATTTTTTTTTTGCCAATTTGGATTCATGGTATATGTTGAAACAGACAACATTTTAACGAAATGAATCCATTCCAAAATCAAGAAAGTTCTTTACATCTTCCAAGAACTAAACTAACGGTTGATTTCGATAGAGCTCAGATCCA